ATCATTTTGCCCTTGATCTTGCGCAACGTTCTGTTCACCCGGAAGCTTTATTGATTCAGACTTTGTACGAGTATATTTCGGTATCTCCGGCTTTGGTAACGTTAAATCCAGTTCCAGAAGATTGGAACTGGCTATAGCGAAAGATCACGCCGACCTGCTCGAAAGAGAAAGAGCTGATGTGGGCTAGGAGAGATAGACGTATTGATTACTCCACGTGCTAATGATCAGCAAGTATCTTTGAGACTTTCCAACCAAACTCGACGGCGTTAGTATCAATATTTGGGTATCATATATCTCAGCATCTCTCCTCGAAAGTCTGCTACCTACAATCTGCAATATACCATACATATCAATATCATTAATCTGCAAGATCCTGCTCCTTCAACATCATCTCGCGTCAATATAAAATTACGTTACCAGAGAACGTTTCAAGTCAAGATCAAGGATACCGACTTCCACCCATTCATACATCCATCCATTCATACTTCATATATCAAATTTGCTCTGGCAGTAAGTCCAAGGGGTCATCAATTGCCAATTAAACTTGCAGCGGTAGGTTTGGAATACCGCCACCTTCATACATATATTCAAGCTTCAACGAATCAAAAGTTCACTCATCCCGTCAGTACATGAATCTTTCTTCATTGTTATTGACATTGTTTTATCACAATCGTTTTCTTAGATCATTAACCGGCACATTGGATCAGCCGTGCATTTGAGACCCCCAGCCACGTTATACCCTTCTTGTGAAGGAGCATAATACCTCTCCTTCACCTACAAATCATTCCCATCATCCCGAAATCATCCTTCCTGCATTGTGTGGTCGAGCGCGTTATCCTTGTTCTTTTGATCGGAAGTCCATCTAAGAGATGCTTCGTAGGCTAACTGCATCATATCCAACAGTTCTCGTACGTTAGTTCTCAAGAATTTCTGCAATTTTCCGCAGTCCTATAGTTTCAATTGAACTCGATCGGATTAATCCCCGAAGCAAACATCGAAACAAAAGAAGAAGATATCCAACAGAGACGGTGAAAAGATTTTTCAATTCGAATTATATTTTTCGGTTTGCTTTATCGTTGAAGTTCTTCAAAAGTACAGTACAGTACAATCAATACATACAAAGTACATACCATTTCATACCTCGTTAAGACATTCGAAACCATACACACACACGCATAGCCACTATCCCAAACATATCTTCACCTGCATACTTTACAGTACTGTACCTATCTTAATGAAGCATCAACAATCTGGTTTATTTTCATAATCGGCCTACTCTTGCTTATACACGGGTACCCCTTATCACATCACACGCACGACCTACCTACTCAAGGACCGCTATTACTCTACTATTTTCAAGATTTAGCCCCCAAATGAGAGGATCGACAAGCATTAGTTTTTAAGGGAACTCCATTAGCATCTAGTCTATCAAGGACGCACTAAACCGTCGCTGTCAGCATCGGAAGCTAGTTCTAGTCCCCACGAGACGCCAACTACCACCCCCGAAAACTTAGATTGCGAAAGTAACGAAAGCTCGGAGCTACTATACCGTTGCTCTTCCGCGACAAGGCGAAACCCCAAAAGGGCGAAAAAGCTTGGCCAAACGAAGCAATTAGCAAACAAAACAAATCGGCAATACGGTTATAGTGTAGTGCAGTGCAGTGCAGCTCAATACACTTACGACTGGACAAGAAAGATCTCCTCGAAACTTCTAGGATAGAGAAACCATTCGACGGATTTCTTTTATAGAAATAAAACCAAAGCAGCTTTAGGTTCCCATTTATTTTGAATCTCTTCGCACCACCTTTTTGACGCCGCTTTCAGAAATTATCTGTTCGTAAGGATTCGAAATAATAAACTGGGTACAGGTAAGATTCAAGCAGAAAAGTCAACATCTCCCTACCGAACGTTGAGAAATACACGGTACTGTGAGGATATTCCTGGCGATTTCGTGCATATTACCACTCCATTGCAGCCGGCCGTCGCAGTACATATCCTCGATACTCTATTTGGAAGATTCGACCCTGTTCAATTTCAACTCCCCCTCCCCGAATATCCCAGACAGCCCCTCATCGGCAGTAACCCTTTCAGCGCAACTTCGCTGGATACTATACTCTTGGTGGGTATTTTAGGCTTTTTTCTTCCTTCAGGGGATATTTCAGGGTATTCTTAGAACCTAAAAGGAGAAGATTAGCGGCGCAAGACAGCCACTCTCACCAAACTCCAATCCTCCTCTCAGGCCTTACTTAGTCTTTTACTCGGTTCTCGATAAGGCTGGTTTACGACCCCATCAAACTTGATCCATAACCAATCCCAATCCTTGGTCTCAAATTTCAATTTTACAGGGGACCTGCAAGCCTATTTTATCAGTGCATTCGCGTTATTAGTATACGGTGATCAGACGACGAATAAGGAACAGCATTGCCTCTTTTGCATTCTTGGAGTGTAATTTCGCGAAAGCACACACAGTAGCTTTGAGCTTCGAGCAGCCCAACAGCGAGCGGCAAGCAATAGCAAAGAAGAAGCAGAGAACCCTTTAGAACCCACCAAGACAAGGCAAGGGGAGATAGAGAAGTAAAGGAAAGGAAAGGAAAGGAAAGAAGAGAAAAGGATAGGATAGGAAAAGAAAAAGATTTTGTATCTTTGAAATTACTGTTTGGCTTGAGTTGAGTTCGAGAAGAGATATCATATCGTTTATCGCCTATCCCAATTTATCGCCTACCGTACTAGACATTTCGTCTTGGTGCTGCTCATCTCACATCTCACATTACTATTATATCATCCACCTCCCGCTAAAAAGCTTCCATCAATACCTTCTTCGTTCACCCCAATCTTCCGGGGACGACGGTGGCAAACCGTTGTTTGTGTTTTGTCTTATATTGGACGACTCATCTCCCTATTTCGTCTTCGGCTTCATAATCGTCTTCGTCTTCGTCTTCGTCTTTCTTCCTTTCGAGTATTCCTATTCTGCGCCCGCCATTATCGATTGGTCGACTTCTTTCCAATCTATTTCTATCAGGCTTGACGTCGAAGTTTAATCGTGGAAAGTAAATTAAAGGGGGTGAGGCTGCAAATGAACGATAGTAAGTATAAACCATAAACCATCAATCCTTTTTCCGCACCGCCGCTCTGTTCTTCTCAGCAAAATATACTTCCCCCCTCCCTCAGCTTTCAGCTTCTTTTGCTGGGATATCTTCTATCCACCAAAACAATTGAAATTATTTGCATCCGAAAACCTTTCCTTCGGCTCTCTTTTTTTATTTATATCGTCAAGAAAAAAGTGTTGAAAAAGCCAAAAGTTAGAGAAAGGTTTCAATGTTCTATTGTTTAATTTTGAGGTGTCGTCGATAATTTTGGCGAAATGGTTAGTGCTGGTGTATTAATTCTCCATTCCTCCAATTGGTGATAATATCACTATCACACCTCAAATCTCACGCATCACACCTCACACCTCACACCTCACACCTCACACTTCACACTTCACATTTCACACCTGACAATGTACAAAACACGGAGCAGAGCAATACAGTGTAATGCCGGGCCCTTACAGTGATTTGGTCAAACGGAACGTTCCATGGAAGAAGTTCCCCGGGTACGACGTTCAATATCATCAACACACCCTCCATCTTCCAGTCCTCCAATCCTCCAATCCTCTCATCCTCTCATTTATCCCCTCAATTGAATGTCAAGATCCAAAAGAGGCGCGAAAAGTAGCCTAATCTACTACAAAAAAAACGTTGTGCATCCCACCCCCTAACATCCAATCCGCATTCTTCCAGAGACACCCCCAAGAACTTTATTAAATTACATCTTTACGGCACAATTCACTACATATCCAATTTTCACTGTCCTTTCAATTTTCATTTTGGTTCTGGTTCTAGTTCTGGTTCGCCTCGTTTCTGCCTTGTTTCTACTTTTTATCCGTGGCAGTCTCTTCAATAACCTTTCTCAATATCTTAAAATCTCCGGAATTTTCAATATCATCCGATGCTAACCATATCACTCAATAGTCCTTACACCTCAAAAAATAACACTCAATCACTTCATGTGCTCTCAATCTGGTAATATTCAAGACCTAGCCACTTATTCAGGGCATCCGTCTTCGTGTATTGTCGGATCCGAATCAGAGCCTGACAGCTCTTCAAGACAGGAATTTGTTCATCCTCCGTCAGGACCCTCTGATATGGGGATGCGATACATGACAATTCCAGCAGATGATGTACGGTGAGTCTAACCCCCAAACATCGTTGGTCATTTGCTTTCTCCCCGATGTACCCCCTCGTCAACCTTGCATTTAGGCGCACACACTACACTTTGAGTTGTCTCTCTGATTATCGTCCGTTTCAAATTCATGCATGCATCTACCGCTTGTGCGATCAGCGCTAAAGCTGGTAATGTGGTGAACATGCCACGACTCATACATCGTCATTGTTCTCCTCCAGTCGTCGCACAACTTAAGCCTCAAATCAAGCCAAAGCCGCATTTACTTCCGCAATGGTTCGCATCACGCGAGTAGTCCCCGCTATTTTGTACCACTGACGGTTGTGTTGGCTGTCATACATATGCAGTTCAACTGGGCATCATTACCGCCATGAAGAAATTCAACCCATAGATCGTGCTCCCTCAGAACCTTATTTGTTTTAGGTCTTACAGCTATGTAGACCCGTGGCTGATTGATAGCTCAGTTACAGTTCCGATTCTGGTACCTCTCATAGCCCTGTGTTCTCGATAGAGCCCACGATACCAAGCTCGATCCAGTCCAATATCCCCTTCCCTCCTCCATACGCGCATGCCTATCAGTCATCGCTGAACGGTCCCACGTACTCAGGTGGGAGCAACCCGTACTTTTCTCCGGGCTCGTCCTTATTTTCTATGCCCGATATTAAACCCCGCTTGAATTCCATGTACGTACCTTCCACCCCCTTTTAAGTACTTCGATACACCATCATTTCTGTGCACAGATAATAATGATCTATCCGCACAGTCACTCATCCCCTGGAATGGCACCACCCTCACGCTCTCCAGCCTTACCACATCCACAATCACCAATAAGCACACGAGATTTATACGCAAGTGCAACACCACATTTACGAAGAACGGACGGAATTTCAAGATCTCCGTCGACTTCTGGAACTGTAAGAGGCGTGCCATTATCACCATCTAACAGCGGCTTCGCCAGTCCAGCGAATATGGAAGGCTCTCAGCTTGGAGGGCAACTCACCCCTCCTCTTAATCCAACGGAAGTCATACATACTTTGCAGGCGGCTGATGGACAGATTATCACGCCAGAAATCTTTGGAAAAATTGACAAAGGATTTTTCATGGCAGAAAACGATTGGACCTGCTACAGAAGAAATTACTTTTCCCTGAGCTGCTCGTTTACACTTCAACCGATCGTTCCAAATGGAACTCCTCATCTTTTGTTGTCTGGCGGAATGAGGCCAGCGGTACAACAATTTGCGATGTCCATTGCTGCAGTGGTCGATTCGCGCGATGGAAAATCAATAGAATTGGTCCAGCACACCCCAAAACGAGACAAAGGGCCACAAGATAAGCCGCCTCGAATTGCAGTGGCCCCACGGCCACATACAACGCATAATATCTATGGTGGCGATAATGGAATTGGTGGTGGGCCACGCGGAATGTACGATGGAGCCTTCGGCCAGTCGCCAAACACACCACCAAGTGAGGCGACCTTTGAGCGCATCCAATTCAAAAATGCGACAGCGAACAATGGAAAAAGGAGAGCGGCTCAGCAATATTATCATCTATTGGTGGAGCTTTTTGCAGATTTAGGAAATAACCAGAACCAATCAGAACGCTGGGTGAAAGTTGCCGTTCGTATGTCCGCACCAATGGTTGTGCGCGGCCGCTCGCCTGGTCATTATCAGAGCGAACGGCGAGGCAGCAACGCAAGTTCTGGACCAGGAGGTACCGGAGGTGCTGGTGGAGGCGGCTCATATACACCGTCTGGCGGAGCATCCCGCACTCCAGGCGATTTAACCATGTCTGGAACTTCGTCTATGCTTCCTGGTTCCAACAGTTACGGCTCTTACGATGGTCGGTCCCACCATTATCGCACTGGGCCACTTCAAATTCCCATGGAACCCACCCTTTCTGCTGAAGAAGCTAAAAACATTGAGGATGCTCCCTGCTATATGTACTACCCTAATCCACTTTGGGAGGGCGCAGAGCCACGAAATCAGTTGCCAAGTCTCCCAGAATATGTGCCGGGAAAGATTAAGCAAGAATATACGACGAGTGGCTACTCTCTACCGAGCATCAGTGGTGCGCAAGATGCCTTGGGTAGACATTGTGGGAGGTGGGAAGGAGTCCAAGATTCGAAGGGATATTTTCCAACGATAGCATTGACGCAGGAGCTCAATATTAGCTAGCCATCAGAGATGGAGAATTAATCGCCATTCGCGATACAAGTCGTGTGCTATGCTAAAATTCAGCACTCGTACATTATCTTGACTATTCTTTTCACATCCGGCATCGTCTAATTCAATTTGTCTTCGCGCAGCACATCTCGTTATCGCCCGTTCTTTTTGCAATTATTTTTTTGGAGTAAAATGGATTGGCTCATCGCTTGGTCGTTTAATATCTTTGCAGAAGACATTTTGATTGTGGAATTGATTGGCGCAAGGTACAGGGAAGGAGTGAAGGCTCAAGGAATATTATAAGACATTTGATTGGGATATTTACATGGGGGAATACTACAAAATCAAATGGCATCAAAATCACATCATCTCAACACGACATCACATACATATACGATGGATCAAACGGATGAGATGAATGGATGAAAAAAAGTTTGCATCTAGGTCTGGTCTAGGATGGAACGGAAAAAAACATATATCGGATTTTCGTGATGGAGTTGGATCTGGTCTCTGGCACCTTTCTTCTGTGGGGATTTCGGACATGGGAATGATGTATGGATGGATGGATGGATGGATAAATGAGTAACAATGGATCGGAAGACAATGGATTGGGATGGATGGATGGGTATATGATCTCGCCAATCGCGGATCCTGGTGTTTCCTACGTGCGTCATCGATGGATTCTTCATCGTCTGTTTTCTGTTATTTCTTTTCCAGTGTTAAGTTTGATGAGATCGAACTTGAGAGGGCCCACTGCCCGACCGGTTCTTCTGCACCAACACTCAGACTCACAAGTTCCTCTTTGCTTGCATCTGATTGCTTCTTCTATCTTGACTGCGTGTTAGTTGATGTTGTTGCGCGGGAGGACTTAGTATTGAGGAATGAATTTGAGTTGTGGGCTGCTGTTGAGTGACTTCTTCTTCTTCTTTTAAGTTGTGTCTGTTGTATTTTTGAATGTGGGGATTGACGGAAGAGATGTGTGAAGAGCCGTGAGAGGATGATAAATTGACCAAGGTTACAATGGCTTGTGGGGATGATAACTGCCAGTGAGCAGAACGCAGCAGGATGAAAGTGAGAGAGTGAAGATGAAAAAATGGAAAAATGTTTGCAGTGAAGTTGAAGTTGAAGTTGAAGTTGAAGTTGATGTCGTTGATATTTTTATTCGAATTCTAGTTTTATCATGTCAGTCAGTTAGTCGATTAGTCAGTCAATGCAGGAGGCTTTAGTTGATATATATATATACATATATATATACAATTGTGTTGATAGTGAATGTTATAAGTGATACAATGTGATTGGGATGTTAGTAGTCCGACTTTGTTGATGAAGTGTTGAAGCATTGGGTGTCGCCGTGAAAGTGCCATCTTTGAAATGTGTATAGTGTTGATGGGAAAGCTAGCTAGAAAGAAGAGTATGCTCTCCAATATATTGTCATAAATGAAAAGGGTGGCCGATTGAACTGTTTTATCTTTCTAAATGAAATGGAACATTCGAACCTCTCTTTTGATCTAATTCTTTGATATCATTTGGAAGTATCTCATTATCTCAGCCTGTCTATAAAACTCCGTTACTTCATACTTTTTCAGCTAGCTACCAGTACTGAACACCAGCTATTAGCATCCAGCAAGTCAGTCAGTTTATGCTTTTGATATCATCAGCGATTTGGGGATAATTGCTCAGCTTATTAGGATTAGTGAGTACAACGAGTAAGTGGGTGAGTTAGCAAGTAATTGATAGCTCACTAATAGTTCGCTACTTGTCTTATTAATCACTTTATATAATATAATATTGTTCTCACAGCTCGTGATTAGCAAGCTGTATTATTTAGAATTCAAGACTACTTGAAAGAAATATAGATAATAATTAATATTCTCTTAAATATATACTAAATTTAATTAGAATGCTATTATTATATCTTATAGCAATTGACTAATTCAAAGACCGATTAAATCTTGTATTTATATTCCTTTTTGATCTCTTCCTTATTTTAGCGATTAAAACTTTTATATACTCGATCGTGAAATAAGAAAGTCTTCTAATTTCTTTGAGAAAAGAACGAATATTAGTTTCTATTTTCTTCAAAATTTACTAGATTTAATTAAAATAAGTCGATTCTTTCTATTATATATAATTAGTCTTCGAGAGAATTATAATCAATATAAACCGCTCGCTAGAGTAAGTAGAGCATTCTATATTAGCTCTATAGTTAAGAATAAATATATAAAAAGAGTAAGAAGAAGATTAAAAAAGAATAAAAGAACTAAAGAGTAATAGCTCTTATTATAGTATAGCTAAGAGGAGTTCGCTTAATTTTTATTTTAGAAAAAAATATAGCTATTGTAATTTATTAGCTTTATTGAATCATTACGAAAATTTTATAATAAGACAGATAATATGATAATTAGTACTCGAGTACTCGTAGTAATATTATATCTTAGATGATACTATCTACGTCTTCTACTCTCGTACTTTCAATAATCTTAAATATGTACTAGTCTTATATTTAATTCGAATCAGAATCGATTTCTTCTATTCGTAGTAACTAAATAGTTGTGTGCAAGTGATTATAACTCTCTATGTTCTTCTACTTCTTACTTTTCTTCTCATCTCTAGATTCCTAATGTTATCGTTACATTTGGCTTTATACTCGAGTAGATCGAAGAAAGATACGAATGATGGTCATTTCCATTTTAAATGCATACAAGACGCAAACCTAATTGAGTCAATTTTATCCCATCTGCAGTAAATTACCAACACACAGACAGACCAGTCGGATTTACCAAGTACATACATGCCTTCAAGTTTGAAATTCCTCTATTTTTGAATTACAAGAAACGCCTTAGCCTACAAATTTATGTTCGCCATGGTGTGGACTTTGGCTCAACGGAAGCTTGGAATGTGCAGTTCGATTTGAAGTAGCGAACAGCTTTTGGATGATATAGAGCTTCGAGAGAGGTGTGAAGTTACGCTTTAACTTGAATCGTTATAAAGCCTCACAAAAGGTCTGAATATTGAAAGCCTCGAGAGACACTTGTATGTCTAGTTTTGTTGAGAACATTAAGAGCTTATAAATATTTTAGTGCTTTGAGAAGTATCTTCAAGCTTATGTCCATTCACGACATCTAAAAGTTTGGTTTTGTCCAGGACATTGGAGTGGAGGGATATGAACACCTTATTTCTTTTGTGGGAAAAGGATTTGTCAGGATATCTCACCAGGAACAGCAATTTACGGAAGTCTATTCATTGATTCTGATAGCTAGTATTGGGAGTGTCTTCTTCCTAAGTAAACCGGATGCCTTTCCGAGTCTCAGCGATGGTGAGTGGACCTCCCCAATAGAGTTTTTACCATTGATGAAAGAGGTAAGCTAAAATTCACAAAGAGCAGCAGCAGCAGCTGGATATCTATGGCCCTCCACTGGGAAGCTAGCAAGAATCTCATTGATCTTTGTGAGATCCGAAGCCGACAACTCAATTTCCGTAGCATTCTCCTTAACCCTAGACTCAGATCTCGCACCAAAGACCGGGACAATGAGGGGGTAGCCTGGCTTTTTACTCTGAGACTTGGTCCAACATAAAGCCAACTGCGCAGGTGTACAGCCCTTTTCCGTAGCCAATTTTCTCAACTCCTCCACCAAGTCCAAATTCTTTTGGAAATTCTCGGGTTGGAAACGTGGGAAGCGGCGATGATAATCGTTCTCTGGCATATCATTTAAGCTTTTGATCTGACCCGTCAACATACCCGCTCCCAGTGGGGTATGAGCAACCATAACGATTCCCAATTCTCCACAAGCTTCAGCAACCCCATTCTCGAAGACATCTGTAGCCCACAAGCTAATCTCCGCCTCGAACATATCGATCTTCGCAACCGTACTGGCACGACGAATGGAGTCGGCTGCGACTTCACTCAATTGAATACCGCCAATCAAACCCTTCTTCACACATTCATCCAAAGCCTTGACAGTGTCCTCAATTGGGGTAACCTTGTCTTGTCTGCCCATGCCGAAGAGATCGATCTTCTTAGAACCTCCCAAGATTTTGTTGGCATTTTCAACATACTTGTAAACTGCTGCTGGAGAACTGTCCATCTTGAATGTCTTCATGTCGACGACACCACTTTTGATACAGAGAACGACCTTATCAACATCTTCAGGATATTTGGCGAAGTAGCGGGCGATGAGGTGAAGAGAGTTGTTATCTGGGGAACCGTAGAAATCGGCACCATTCCATACGTTTACTCCGGCTGCAAGAGCAGCTTTCAAAACAGGAAAGGCAGTACTGTCGGGAGTGTGCTCACCATGCCAGGTCATACCTATTGAATATCAGTGAGAAGTCTTTGGGTTAGGGACGTCGCAGGCAAAGTGCAAGTAAAGGCGATGTTGAGAATCAGGAAAAGCTAGACTTACGCATGAGACCGAGACCATTTTGAGTGATTTCTTTTCCTGCAAGAGTAGGCATGATTGCTTTAGTTTAATGGAGGTGGTTTTTTGTGAAAGTGATATACTCTGAACGAGAGAGAGAGACTTGAAAGGTAACCAAAGGTGATGGTGTAAAGTAATCAGATTGGTAAGTGATGATGAGGTATAACCTGTAGTATTTAGGACGTTGTTGAAGAAGAGAGAAAGATGTTGTAGAAGAAAGGAAGTATTATGGTAGTAGAAAGATCTTGAGTTATTATAAGTTGTGAGTGAGTCAAGGAGTTAAGAAATCTCCGATGCGAGGTGGGAGGCCCTTCCGGTTGGTTGAATTAGGAAAGAACGATTGGAACACAAACGAAGACCAGCTTTTCACTTTCACAGTATTCACTACTCGAGTACATATGGTATGATTATAAAAATGGTTGTACGCGGGTTTTATATAAGGCATAAACGCCGATATCTCCGGTCTCATTGATGGATGAGATTAGATGACTTGAGAACTTGAGTGGCAGTTGTGGTGGTGGCAGTTACACCTGTGACGTGGGCTTGGTGACATACCCTACGGGCACCTCAGAAGGGTAATTAACCTACCAATGGGTTATTATTACATTAAACCTTGTATTGAAGTGTAATGAGATATACTGAGATTTTATATTGAGATCTGAAATCATAATTTAAATTTAATCTGAATTAGTTGATTTTTAATTCGATATAGCTTCATTTTTTTATCCTAAATCGATGATTTCAAATTCATTTATATCTATCGAAATCTTTCAATCAATTTTACAATTTTTTATACAAATCAATTTGAATGCTTTCAATACTTTCAATATTCATTAGTAAGTCAGATTTCATTATTTTCAATATTCAGTAAATTAGAATACTTTCAATATATCAATATTCGGTAAGTTAGAATGCTTTCAATGTTTTCAACTGTTTATATAAACGATTAAGGGTTAGCGACAACAAGGGTGCGACGACGAGGTTCAAAATAAGGTACGAAACTCAGGGAGGAAAGGGCCAGAGAGGCCAGGGAGGCCAGAAGGTGGAGGCCAGGGAGGTGGATGCCAGGAAGTGAGGGGGTGGTAATTGAGAGGCTTGGGAGAGGGTGATCAACGATATCGGAAGCCTTTTTTAGCTTCAAATCTCAATACAAGCATTGAATCTCAATACACACGCATGTAAGTATAAGGTGATCTTCTGAAACTTGTTGAGATTTCCATTGAGATTTTCAGACAAAGTTCCTGATTGCGGTAAAACATATCGAAAGTTGGATGTCAGATATCAAGGTCTTGAGTTGAACCAGAAAAGCTCAGGTCACGCCGGTTACACGTGATTGAAGCCTCCATTTTGTTGCTCATTCGTTCCTGAGACACAGAGAAAGGAAGCAGGTATAATGCTTCAATGAAGAGAATACTTACTCAAAATCATTCTACTTTGGAGAGGAGAATCCCGGGTTTGATCGTTGAATCTGTTAACATTCTTGCTCGGTGGTGATAATTGATCTCGACACAAAACTCCTATTTTCATTCCCTCAAACTCAATGTCGCCTGCTCCATGGCATGCATATCCTCCACCGCCATCAGACACCGTTACCCAAAATTATGATGCCGAAAATCCTTCACGATATCGGAATATCGGTATTCCTTCCCCTATGCTCTTATATTGAACCTAAACTTATTGGAGTCAACGAACTTCATCGTTCTCATCAATAGTTGCGAGCAGTGAAAAGTAGCGCTTGCGCTTGCGCTTGCTGACAAGTCCTCAAACATTCATAACCCCTGCCCAGATGAAATTCGATCTTTAACGCTAACTCTCTCAATTTTACTGATTGTGGATGAATTTGTGAAACACTACTGAAAGGAGAGAGTACCAATATCGGTAGTCGCAACAGGTTGAGATGTCCTATCCTACCGGATGAAGCAATAATGTTCATGATCACCAAAAGGCTTGTTTATTCACCCTTTCATTCATAGTCTTCACCACCGCACACAATAATCACCTCAATAAAACCAATACCACCTCATATTATATAGCAAAAGCATTCGCTTACAAAATGTGTAAAAAGGTGAATGAACAGAGGGGGATTCGAACCCCCGCGGGCTAAGCCCATGAGAATACTAATTGATTTTACATCAACTAAGTTTAAGAACTTGAGTCACACGCCTTAACCACTCGGCCATCTGTCCATTTATTAATGTGATGTTGTGCTTGTTCTCATATATATTCTTCACAAAAACGGCAGGGAAAAGCTTGCTGCACAATGTGGGGTACAGTAACATCTCGTATATGAATCTTGAGATATACACACTCCCCCCTCCTTTCTTGAGAAATTGGTATGATATATCATTTACAGAATGTGAGTGTGTTGTTAGTTTGTTTGTCCTATTTAAATTTAACTCAATTCATTCTCTCCATCTCTATTCACATATTCTTTCGCTCAAACTTTCCATCCGCCCTGACCCATTAACCCCACTTAAACCAATCTTTACCATCGTAATACAATCATTTGGCGAAATGACGAAAACGATCTCTTGGAGATTCAATTGGGCTCGAAATCGAAAGCGTGTCAACTATGCGTCTCGACAAGAAGAATACCTAAGTGCAGTATGAGTAGGCCATATATGCCATGGACTTAAAGACGTAAGTGCAGTAGAGGAACTAGAAAATTAGGACGTGGACACCCAATGAAGCCATACGAGAACATGATGATGAATAGGAAAAACGGAAATGGATATGTATACATCGTTTGTTGTTTATTCGCATACAAGTGACGGTGACTTTGAACCCAAGCATTCATATCTTCCGCTGCAATGTCAAGCTCGAAGTGAACTCTACGAAGATGCCGACCAGCCTCAAAGCGGGAGTTGCATTATGCTATTCTTTGCATTCAGCCCAAGACCCAAATAAAAGAATTGGTTGTGAGACTATCGAGCTTCTCACAGCATATCAGAGCCCAGGGTCGCAAGTCAAGTGACGAATTCAAAGCGAAATGAATGGAGCGTAGATGTAGAATCACGGTATCTAACCACTTCCATTGTCGTGGTGTCAGACAATCGGAACGGTTATTCAGCGAAAGGCTTAAAGCAAACAAGATTGCCAAAGAATCCCTAAATTACCTTAATGTCGGTAACTGACTTGAAAGATGAATTCACGGATATATTGTCTACAGTATCTCTTACAGTCTTGGTACAAGATCCTAACTGGGAGACAGATGCCCCAGAAAAGTGTATTTGGCGGGCCATGGTGCGTCAACAGAGTCTCGACGAAACTTTTGCCGTGGGGCGAAACGTCTGGTCAATAACCAGCATGTCTCGGAGAAGAGAGACTGTCCACGAGTCTCCTAGCTCGGTGAACCATGGTTCTATCATATGTGCCGTCGCATGGTAAACAAAGGTCGTTCTATCAGGATCATCCGGTATTGGCTGGCTCCTATACTCATGATACTCTTCGAATTTGTTCACCATCAGCCACGGTGGCCACGGTAGCCATCTCCGCAAATACGCATCACATGGAGTGAATATCAGCAGGCCGACATCTTCGACCATCTGCGACCATCTTGGGGGCACTGTACAATTTTGTGATGCGCACCAGATGGCCTTCCGTGGAGCTTGTAACACCTAGACTAAACTGGCGTGCGGTTCCAAAATCGGTCAAGTAGACTTGATCACCCTTGCAAATTATATTGTTTGGCTTGATATCTTTGTGTCTTATATTCTGAGAGTGAAAATAAGCCACCGCAGAAGCAAGACAACATTGCCAACTATGGGTACTTTCATATCTTCATCTGGAAAATCACTTTCGTTAACTCGTTCAAGAAAGTGACCTAAATCCTGATCACTCAGTTGGAGATATGAGGATTTCGAAATGTCGAGGAGACTTGGTCGTCTTATAAGTGCTGATGAATGAGATTTAGAAGAACGGTCACTTCTTGGGGAATGAGGGGCAATGAATCTCTTAGTGAGAAGTTGGGGAGGCGAATGACTTTCCGAGAAATCAGAGCACCATCTTCGCTGCCATTGATACTGACCACATCGACAATTCCAAGTGAGCCATGGCCTAATTGCTTGATCGTCATATATGGGACAGCTTTGCTGCTGGCATATTATCTGCGAGTGTACTTGAAATTGATACGCAGCTCAATTTCTATGGATCGCGAAAGCAATTTTGAGAGTGCTTCATTGACAAACTCATGCTCAACGTTGAATTCTTAAGCCAATGTATCAACAAAGTTCCATTTTAATCCCGAGTCTTGTAACGATAACAAAGATTATGGTGGTATGTTACACACAATTGCAGAACTCTGATGGTTTTGAGCAGGTATTTGTTGATATACAGACTTAGGCGTAACTTGAGCCACGCCTCCGCTAGAAACATTGCTGTCACGATTAAGCCATTTGTTTACTTCGCGGCGGCAACTGCAATGTAGTTCGCGCGTAAAGAAAATCTCGCATGGTATCCCTCATTAGGTATATACTTTATCTCATATCAAAGACACATCATCACGAATTGAACTCTTCTTTCAAGGCTGCGTTTGTGTCAGCCTCATTGCATGCTTGCTGCAGACGACTAAACTGCAGACGACTAAACTGCTTTTGAGAACACTGCATTTTAATAGTTTAAGTAGTAGTAAAACGGAGATAGAACAGATTGAAGGATATGAGAGCTTCTGGACATAAGATGGCGGTTAGATACATAAATAGTCCAAGTATTTCTTTGTTATAAGATGCCAAAAGATTAAAATGTCACATTTTGATAGAAGCTCGGATAACCACCATATATACGTCATAGGTACCTACTCAGTACTAGGTATTCATTGATCAAAATCAACATTCCTTTCTTTATTCAAGTAATAATTTCATATCATCTTCAATCTCATCTTCAATCTCCCAATAACAAATCTCAGGTACTCAACTAAACTTACTGTACTCGTACATCCATCCTTGCTCATTTACCTCTTCTCTATCTTCTTTCCATCACAATAATCAACAAGATCCTTCATCAACAAGATCGTAAGACTTACATCAATTTGATCATCGTCTGCCTAACTGACCTTATGTCCACGTCGTCGAGGAGTTGGTGAGTTGATGATATCTTTCTCATTGACCAATTCAACCTCACACAATGGACACCCACGATATTACAAGTCTCAATAATCCCCATGCTGCACCTACAGATCCCTATCGCGGACGGTCCCAACCAATCCACAACATACCCATAAATGTTGAATCTCACGGGGAAGACACACCTACCGATAGTCATGCCCTCGCAATCGCAGATCACGAAGAAAAGGGTGCTGCACAGCTAGATCATGGTACTGTTGAGGTGCGAGATTTGGGCTGGAATGATCATCCCGATGATGTTCCTACCCCTCTAGTTGGAGGTCTGCCAAACGAAGAACTATGGACTTTAGTACGACGATTTAATAAACAGATGTACCATGTCAAATCATTACAAGAGCCACCACTCGGAGGCTTGGACCTAAATATTGCGGACGAAGAGGAATTCTCGCCAGACAAGTTGAGGGCGAACATCGAGCGGTTATATATGACGGTGGTGGTTGGGCTTGTTAACTTTTGGAAACACATTGCAAGATTAAGGTCATGGAAGGAAAGAGATCGCACCATCGTTTTTGCTTCGGCTTATTTCCTAGCCTGGTTGATAGACTTCCTAATGCCAACAATTATTGGTTTCGTGATTGTGCTCATAGCATGGCCGCCATCGAGGGAATATTGTTTTCCTCCTGCACCACCTGCACTTATCGACAGCACAACAGGAGGAATCAAGAAACCGACGGCAGGCGTCTTGGGTAACGATACCAGTCTAACTGGTGCTCCAGAAAAATATCAGGGAGAAGCTGTGGAACAAGAAGCAAGTAACTTTGTAAATAGTTTTACCTCCATTGCGATTAGCAGTGCATCCGGGAAGCACCCTCAAGGGGATCCACACGGTGATGAAGTGGGCGCCAGTATTCTGGAGGATGCGGCACCAGATCCAACCAAAATGGCAGTGAGCGCCTCAAACGCAAAAAGTAGCAGCGCGGGAGATCAAACAAATTCTCTACATGACAAGACAAAGGAGCCAATGTCGGCAGCGATGTGGTCAAAGACCAGACCTGTTATGCATACGATTGCTGACATTTCTGACGGATGGGAGAGATTTGCAAATGCATTATCTCCCACTCCACCGTTCCCTCCAGAGAAGCCTCGACTCAAGCTTGCTGCTTGCCTTGCTCCGTTACTCATAATGTCGATGTTCACCAGCTCGTATATCTTCATCAAGATGAACGGATTATTCGTCGGGTTTGGATTCTTCGGAGATCCATTAATTAGGCGAGGGCTTTCATACTTGAACCGAGAATTCCCGCATTGGAGAAATTTGTTGGAGATCAGAAATACCTTGCTTAAAGGTGTCCCTACGAATGCTCAACTTACCATCACATTATTACGAATTGGTGAAGCGAATAAAGCTCCAATTCCACCACCCCCATCGTCGTCCTTACCACCACCTGATGTTGCGCACGCTACAGCAGGCGAGGGCCTCGACCATCTTGGTAAAGAATTATCTCTCAAGAAAAGTAATGGACTAACATTTTCAGAAGGCGTATCTGATTCGGAAATGGCTGATGCCATTCACCCTGACATAAATGTGACCGCAACCAGCATCGATCAACCCAAAACTAAGAAGAAAGGGCACCGGATTCTGGCTGCTTTCAAAAGTGTTACCAAAGGTGGTGTTGAGACTGTCTTAGGAACAGATAGACTGAAAGCTGCAGCTGGGGCAGAACATGCGAAAAACCGTCTCGGTGTTTTGAAAGATGGACCAGATGATCCAGCTGGCCCTACCCGTTTCCCCTCCAGATATAAGGGCAAGAAGGGACATGCATATATCACAGCCACGGCAACAACTCCAGCACTGAGCTGGACAACCGAGAAAGATGATATTGATCCTGTTTTCTCCATAGCCATAGCTGATATCATAGTAAGATTCATAAGTATATCTATATTGATTGTGAGACATAAGCTAATACAGTTATGATAGGAAATAAAGAAAGTTGGTGGCCTAGGCTGGAAGACTAAGCTTGTGGTAGGATGGGCTACATCGCGAGAAATTGCGGACGGAATTCTAGTGATCGACAAATCTGGCGATCAGAAGCAACTTACCGCAATCGCACTACGGGAAGAGCTCTTCAATCGCTTGATATCTATGGGTGCGCAAATTTGGGAGGCATGGTAGATACCCAGGGACGCCTTCCTCCGCCTTCTTCAACAACGCTTATCTAGAGGCTTTGAGACCCTTGATTGATTAATTGATCTCATACAATCGAGAAGGGGGGAAGTTCATGTGTGATGACAATGGTATAGTATATAGGTGTCTATTCGACATGTTAGACAAAGCTGCAGTAGTGTTCGTGGTTCAAAAAGATATTTGACACCACAGATTCATCGGTCACGAGAATTAGAGTTAAATTTTCTCCAAGTGAAGAAGGTTGCATGAGTGGTTTGAATGAAGTCTGTATGGCTGAGAACGATTATTCAACCCTGAAACATATGAGCATTTCAATTGACTCATGGGCCTGTTGACACGGTCAAAACAAGGGTCAACAACCTTTGCCGAATGCCCATGTCTTTTGCGGCCAACCACAAGTTTTCTAAAATTCACCTCTAGAATGATGTACCTCGAAACAGCTTCAACCTCGCATCGCGAATCAGATTGAACTCTCGAATTTGAGGATAGGAAATAAGGATAACAAAAGCTGTCAGGGCCGGTTCCTGGGTTTTCAACCCGGCTTGTGAATTGATTGCTTGGGTGATTCTGTTGAGGTTGGTAGAGAGGCGTTTGCGTCATGGCCAGACATTTATTTTTATATGATTCATCTATCGCTCTCTATTTTGACTTCTTGAATGTTTGCTCGATCTCGTGTTTATTCCACTTGTACTCTACCCAAGATAATTTAGAAGACCTTAATCTTTCCAGAGCTCTCCAAATTTCTTTCCATCAAACGACTATTACAATATTAGAATCTACACAGCACCTTTACAAGATGCAACCACTAGCTGCCATCCCGATGGCCTGTTCTTTCGTAACATTCGTGCTCGGCATGTTATGTCTTTTCGCAGGCAATAAACCTGGTTTCATGGAGGATTACCATATTATAACAGTGTGTGCACCATGTTCCCATTCCCAAAGATGCGATTCTAATTATGTAACATCCAGCTCAATACCTCAGATGTCGGACAAAACCTCATTCCCACATCAAGCAGTGGTTCTAGCTCCACGCCCACAATCGCATCCCCAGTAGAAGTCATTAGTAGCCTTGCCAACTTGATCCCTCGTGAGCCCGGTATTGGCGATGACATTGCAAATGCACTCGGAGGTATCGAAAATGATATTGCGGGTAAACTTGCGAAGACACTGGGTATTAAAGAATGGTATTCGCTACATCTGATGGACATGTGCGAGGGAACATATACACCAAACGCCACTGCCAGGGGCGCAAAATATAACGTGAGCTCTTGCACAAACCAAACCGCCATGTGTAAGTATTATCATCATATTATTTACTGCTTATATTGATCATATCTCCGTCCAGACCATGTCGACATAAACTCCATAATCTCCGAACAACTATCCATCGGTGGCGTCCACTTGAAACTCAGCGATATAGGCTGGTCCTCCAAAATTCAAGATGGTCTCGACGCACTCTCCACGCCCTCAACGCTACCTTCGTATTCTACTGCATTGGTGTCACAGCCGCCGGCCTCGCATTCCTCACTTCCCTCGCCGCCATTTTTATAATCTATCATCGGTTCTCCTTTTTAAATTGGGGTCTCGCATCACTATCTCTCCTCGCTTTTCTCATCACCTCTTCACTTGTCACAGTTTTCCAATATAAAGCCGAGAGTATTATTAATAAGTTTGGGAATAAGATTGGAGTGCATGCTTATAGGGGAATGAAATATCATGCATTGACTTGGGTTGCCACGGCGTTTATTGCCGTCGCGATGATTGCTTGGGTGGGTATCTTCTATATTGGTCGCAGACAGATGGGACGTGGTTTTCGGGGAAAAAATCCCAGGCAGTGAGAGTAGCGAGTTTTCAAGGAGACATATTTATTAGATACGGATACTTTTGGCTTGTTTGATTTGAGAAGAGTGGATGAATCAGTGGGTGGAAGAGATGAGGAAGAGGATAATTTCATGACAGGAACTACGCCGGCGTATGATGTTCTTTGATATGGTTTTCCTTTTCGTTGTAAGCTGAAGGGGTAATGGAAGGAAGAACAGGGGGAGGATTATTGGAATCGTGAGTGTTATTACAAGAGATTGAAGGTTTGGTCAGGATGTATTATAGCAAGATACCCAGAAGAGTAAAATGGATGCAATGAGTCACAACGCAAGAAACATTAATATAACATTGAATAAGCAAAGTGTGTGTATTAGGAACGATAGGCGCTTCCTCACTATTAGAAGAATGAAGCGTTTGCAGCTGATAGGGATTTGTGACATATTTTTTGAACGTTTTTGGACATGTGACATGGTTTTAGATCAATGATTTTTATACTGAATTTGTTCTTTAAATATAGTATTTTCAACTCCAATCCCATTATCCCGTATTCCATTGGTCCTTTAAAGATGTCAATTTTGTACTCCAATCCCACAATCTGGTAATCCATTTGTTCTTTAAAAATATCAAATTTTGAACTCCAATTTTCCAATCCAACCTTCCCGTAATCCATTTGTCCCCTAACTCCTCCAATCCCAACCCTTTACACTTCTCCCCTTAACAAGAGGCCAATTCGTTTGCATTAATATCTGCAATCGTCCTTGACACAATCATCACCTGCATCCCAACAATGCGAGGGCCACCAGCCCGCAAACCAATAGGTTTCGCTAAAACATCCAGCTTTATCATGCCATCCCTGATCAACTTCCTTTTGCGTGATACATGAACCGGTCCCAGGGTGCCTACAAGGTCGGGGCTTGACCTTTTCCTTATTCTTTTGTGCACATTGACCATGTCGTTTGATGCGGGAATGACCTGGTGGAGCTTGTTCGATATTTTGCTTATCGTCGGCGTTGGAGGAAATGAAGGAGGACGAGGAGGAGGATAAAAAGCAAGTCGCGGCAGTGGTATTGACTTGAACGTGATTGGTGCTGTTTGTCGGGATCACTAATGTTGCCACTGGGTTGAAGAAAGCAACCAGAGCGAGGAGGCACACGTATGAGGGCTTCATTTTGTTGATAGTGTGTGTATAGATTATCGATATGATCTCAATTGTATAGATCGTTGGTATTAAATTGGAGGCTTGAAATGGAAGAGGCTGTGTGTAGATATATGATATCAATTGTATGGATCGTTGGTGTTAAATCGGAAGATTGGGTTGCAGTGGAAGAGGCTGATTGAAAAAGGATCTGAAGATAGATGGGAAGCATAGATTATATATTAATTTGGGAAGAAAAGAAGAAGAGAGTTTAAGAGCGAAAAAGAACGAAAAGATCTCGCACCTTTCCCCTTTTGTGTTGCCTCTCAAATAGTTATCTTTTTATTGGCAGGAATCCACTAGATGATCTACAACTATGCTACCTTGGGCTTAGATAGTGTGTGTGATTTTTGTCCAGTTTTCCCTATATCAAGATAAAACTTGTTAAAATTATACGCTACTAATGTCATTATCTTGGTCTGACATATACTAGTACTTCTAGCGTATACTAGTACCAACCCATTCCAAGGACTTTCTCTCTTTCTCTGAGTCAAGTGTATACTAGTATCAATCTATTCCAAGGACTTTTCAATCCATTCCAAGGACTTTCTCTGAGGAGTCAAGTATACACTAGTATCAATCCATTCCAAGAAATTTCTCTTAATCAAGTTTATACTATTGGTAATATCAACTTATTCCAAGGACTTTCTTTTAATCAAGTATAGGTACCGACCGGTATACTAGTACCATTTATCTAATGTAAATCTTTAGGTGTGGTGGTACTGTGGTATTGAAGTCATATGAAAATGACACATCTTATTTTAGTAATTCAACCAATGAACAATTTTAGCGAATTGCTTAATAAAGCTATTAATATCTAGCAATAAATTAATATTTCTAATAGTTTTTCTATTAAATTCAATAACAATATTAATAATACAATACATTCCTAAGATTTTCTTTTTAACTAAAAACTATAGGTTTTTATAAATACCATTATATAATTCAAAGACTCCTTAATCAATATAATTCTATAATATCTTTGTGATTATTGATTGTCACGGGTTCACTACCCATTCCTACACCTACCTACACGTACCTACATCTATTACATATCCACTACCTATTCTTAGTTAGCTTGAGTAAATGCCTTAGATATCCACCCACTATATAATCAGCATTGCTCCGCACATCTCCTTTTCTCCTTATCGAATATTATATATCTTATCTGATGTTTATCAGAATCTATACCAGCCTTATAATAATATATTCAACTCTTCAAAAGATCCTATTATCGATAATAGCCCGGCTTTGATTATACTTACTTGTATACAACGATTTTAATTTGATTATTTTGATTCTGATTTTGACTTAAACTATTATAATAGCCGATATAACAAATTCATTAGTTATACCCAATAATACCAACCCTGGCATATCTATTATTAATACTAATACACCTATTTCTGAAACCAAGATAATAAAACCTTGATTAT